TAAACATTCACAGTAATTTTTAAGGTGATCTTTCTTTCCGTTAATATAATATACTCCTATAATAGAATATTATATGATCCAAACACCCCCTAAGGTGCAAGAGCCTTCCCCCTTCCCCCAAACATTATATGATCCAAACACCCCCTCATTAGAAGATTAATTTTTACCTTTTTTATTTTTAGATGATGTGAATAAATTGTTGATCAACACAATTTGACGAGGTTCGTATTTTGAAAAATAGAACATTCCCAATAAGACAGAAAGAGAAAAGTTCTATCCGTTCCCATTCTTTTTTCAATAAGCTTAATGGTCAATATTCATTGTTAGAAATTTGTTTGAATTGTTCAAAACTTCAAATCACACTGACTAATTGACAAAACAAAGTTAAGTTATACTCTCACTAAATTTAGAAAAATTTGCCTTAAAAAACCAGCTGTAATTAATTGATGTGTTACACTTATGAATTATCTTCCCACGATTTCATCCTTACTAGGATGCTTACAAGAGCATTGCGTATTTGGATTGTCAAGTGCAATTTTTTTTTCAACTCTTTAGATAGTCTTTTTGGAGTTAATTAATTTTAAGTTCTTATCAATAATATTAAAATAATTAAAAAAAAAAACAAGTTAAGTATCCCCTTAGATTGTGAATTAGGGTATGTTTTTGTATGCCCTTTGCTCCGTATAGTTATTTATAAGGTGCGAAACACCCCAACCCCCTTCTTTGTTTATAAATCTAAATTCCAATTAGCATCCATAAATATCAAAGGATTGATTTTACCTTTTTCAATCATTGTTTATTATTAAATGAAAATAAAAAAGTAGCAAAGAAAAATTGCAAAGAAAAAAAAGAGTATAGAAGTTGTGTTTCTCTATTCTTTTCACAAGAATTTTCAGTGTACAAGAAATCTTGGCTAGGGCTACAATTTATACACAAAGATACTTGGAGTTTCATACAATCTCCTCCATTGAACATAAGCTTCGGCTATCATTTTGTGGCCATCAGATCTGCAACTTGCATTGCCACTTGTGTTACAACTTGCAGTTTGTTAGAGAGCCCAAAAAGTGTTGTAAAAGAAATGGCGCCAAAACTCAACTTGCTTTGACTATTATGACTGATGTAAAAAGACTTAAAAACATGTCTTCAATTCATCCTTAGCTTGTATGAGTTTGCTTGAGTTGCAGCTTGCTTGCATGATTAACATCATCCCTCAAGCAAAACTTAAGCAAACAAAAATAGTCATCCCTTAAATTTGAATGTCATCCCTTAAACTTTACTCCTTGTGATTACTTTTCTCAGTTGTGTTTAGAGTTTCCTCAGACTATGAAGCTTGTCCTTGAGATTGTCCTTTAAGCTAAAAGTTAGAGGAAAAGCTAAACACATGAAGATGATCACGAAGAGCTTGAAACCGAGAGCCAGAGAGAGGCTTGGTAAAGATGTCAGCAACCTGAAATTGAGAAGCAACATATTGAACCACAAGACGTTTGGATTGAACAATTTCTCATACAAAATGCACATCAATTTCAATGTGCTTTATACGAGCATGAAATATGGGGTTTGAGGAAGGGCACCAGCACTGGTGTTATCGCACCAAAGGATAGGCAAACCAGGAATAGAAATGCAAAGCTCCTAGAAAAGGTTCTGAAGTCAAGCCACTTCAATAGATGTCAGAGCTAAAGCTCGGTATTCAGCCTCAGTGGAAGATAAAGCAACCACTTGTTGCTTCTTAGAGCCCCACTAGATCAAATTAGAACCAAGAAAAAGACAATACCCGCTTGTAGACTTGCAATCAGACATGTTGCTAGCCCAATCGGCGTCTATATAACCTTCAAGTTGAAGAGCGGAACTGCGACGAAAGGTCAGACCATGAGTTATTGTACCTTTGATATATCGGAGAACATGCTTGCAAGCCTGCCAATGGGTGATAGTTGGAGCTTTAAGGAAATGGCTAAGTTTGTTCACGACAAAAGAGAGGTCAGGCCTGGTGATGAGAATGCAAAATGTCATATTTACCCCTCTTAATGTCTAGTCTTTTATACTTATTTGTTTCCTAAATGTACTCATTATTATTCTATTTTGATTTAGGATGCAAACGGAGGCGTTAAATTCAAAACGAAACTAATTAGGTGAATTCGGACAATTTCAACATCGCTTCGTAATCTAGGAATAACTCTCTCATCTGAGCTCCGATTGAGATTATTAAAAATTCTATGGAACCCAAAGAAATAGATCTACAACTTTCATGTTTTGAGTTTGGAGAGATACTCGCTGCATCAAGGTTGTAATCGGGCTTGAAATTGACGCACCTGCCCTGCTGACGTTCTGGAACATTTCACTTTGTCATGCAAATCAATTAGGCAGTTTATTATTGGAAGTTTTGAAGACTTGGTGCATGCAAGTTACAGCTGGAAACACCACTTTCCTATTTTACATTAGGACTTTATTTTATTTTCAATTAATCAGATTAGGATAAATGTTATTTTAGGATATTATAATATTTTTAGGAGATTTAGGAGATATTCCAAATTTCAATTGGATATTTATAAAAAGGAGAGATCAGATTGGGAGAGAGAAGACGCACGCCTCTTTTTCTCTTTTCTGGAATTTTTCTCTTTTGAGTTTTGATTATGGCCATGAGCGGCTAAAACTTTCATAACTTGGTCGAAGGAAACGGAGGCCTCGGAATCAGTAAACTATGAGATCTAATCTTTTTTTTTTTTTTTTTGGTAGCATTCAATTTATGTTTTGAGTATTGGATGTTCTTCTATGCCTATTTTCATGATTGTTTCATTTAATTACTAGGAGGCCTACGAGTTGATTATTTGTTGCAATCTACTGCTAAGTTAGATTTCAAATCCGTAATTGTTTGATCCCTCTAACTTGTGAGTAATTAAGATTTAAGAATTTGCTGCATTAGGAATTATTAAATCTTAAGAAGAACATTCAACTAAATTAAATACAACCGCTTGTGTTTGTGTTGTTCAGCATCAATTTCTCTAGCCCTTAAGGCTGCTACTAGATTAAACCTTTAGCGCTTGTCTTGGGTTGTTTAGTAGGAAGATTAATTAGATCGCTTGTTTTCTAATTAACTACAACTAAGGAGAGATAGGGAAATAGTTCCAACGGTGAATATTCAAGGTATGAATTGATTTATATTTGCATAGATGATCAGTTGAAAAATTCCGATGGTGGATGTTGACTTAGACCAAGGTTTTTTATTTTGATTGATAATTTAATTTGAATTGTTTTGTTCCTGAAATTGTTTTTGTTTTACTCAAAACCCCTCTGCCTGGTTCACGTAACATAAAACTCGGCTAGACACTCTTTGTGGGAACGATCCTTACTCACACTACGACATGTGTTTTCAGGTTTTAATCTTGATTGCCTACGACAGCACACCACCTGGTCATAGTAATGTATTGCAAGGCACCAATGAGACTCTTGTATCGAGAGGGTTGTTCGAATAGTGAACCATTTTCAAAATTGCAACTTTGAACCAAGAATCATAGGAGTTGCACAAGGATTGCAATCTTGCATTCCAAATTTGAGAAGAATTTCCTGAGCTTATTTAGCCTAATTAAGCTGCAAACCATAGGATGTATGAACAATAGAGTTGCCCAAAAAATAATGGACAAGACCGAGAATCTTCAGACCAAATTGAACAACTAAACCTGACACTATGGTGTGAATGAAATAGGGGTTATTGTTAGAGTAGGTGCCCTAGAGCCAATCAATTATTGTAAAATTGACTCTGCAATAAATGTTTATTTATCAATAAAAGACATATTCTTCTATATTGTGTATGTAATGATATATGTCCTTAGGATGATAGAACCGTGACGAGAGTATCAAGTATTTCAAATCTTGATAGTGAGAACCATATGATCACATATGGTGGCCATTCTAGAAACGTTCGTAGCCCCAGTATTATTTGACCAAGGACACATATAATACGGTAAGACTATCATAGTGTTGAACGACCTTATCGAAAGGCAGTGACTAATCTCACTTATCATGGTTGTTTGCCGATAACCTGGTGCAACACATGGGTGTTTGCTAGAGGCAAGTTTAGTGGATAGACCCACCAGAGGATTCCATAGGGATGGTAACTCCAGTGTCTATGAAATAAATTCTCTAACAGATGGTGGTACATGTGATCCTTAGACTTGAGATCACCAGAGTGTCTTGTGCACCAATTGATGTAGTTTGACACTAGCCCAACGTAGTTCTATTCAGAGCTATCAATACGATAGTGATTGGCTACATTGAGAAGTGTATCGAGACTATGGTGGATCGACAAAGTATTCATCACTTTTGGGTACGAGAGAAGTTATCTCACTGGGTAATTCAGTAAATGGCAATGACACTAAATCTGTGGCCATAATGGGATTGAGTTGATGCTCAATCCAATTTAATATTCCTGTCATTGGTCTAGTAACTGAATACAAACATGTCGAGGATATCTGAGGTTGACACTATTTCTGTACCTCAGTTTTTTGTTCCTTTTGTAAACGTGAGTAGTAGGGGTCGTATCAGTATGTTATATTAATATGTTTGGTTGAGAAGAATAAATTGGTGGGTATGTTATATAAATTACTAAATTTCTCACCTTTTTAAATATTAATATTATATTATTTTTATTATTATTTTTTTAATAATTTCTTTTAACCCACCTACATTTCAGATTTAACTAAAACACCTCAACAACAAAAAAAGTTTAAAACTCAACGAAAACACCCCTACCCACCCCAAGCCATTGCCGCTGGCTTGCCACCACCACCGACGGCAACGACAATGGAGATTTGGTCGTGAAAGGCCAGATTTGGTTGTTTCTGGCCATGGATCACAGATCCATGGCCGAAAATGGCATTAGCGGCGCATGGCTGGTCAGATATGGTTGGTCGTACGCTATTCTGTGATCCATGGCCGAAAATGGTGTTAGCGGCGCATGGCCGGTCAGATATGGCTGATTGTACGCTATTCCGCCGCTACCGCCAACAATGGTGGCTAGCAGTGATGGCCAGATCCAGCCACCACCCTTGGGTAATTTTTTAAAATTCCAAGAGTATTTAGGTCCTAAAAACTTTGTATATAAGGATAAAATAGTCAATTGGTATTTTTGTAAATTGTTTTTAAAACAATGGCATTATTGTTCTAAAATTTTATTCATATGGGGTAAAATTGTAATAAAAATAAGATTACTAAATAATCTTAAAATACTTAAAAAAAATGGAGGTAATCAGATATTATCAATAGTAACTATTATTGGTTTTGGAAGATTATCGGCATATTTTATTACTTGACAATCAAACGGGATAATCAAGTAATATAAGATGACGTTACCTCAATAATGTCCTATTACCCCCAACCAAACACACCCTTGGCGTATGTTCTGTCATTTATGAAATTAGGGGGCACTTCTCGAACAGGGGAGGGAAACTGTATAGGTGGACATTATTTAAGGCTGAAACTTTGCATTAGTGGTCAATCCTTATATGAACTATATTCATGTGTATGATTGTCTTTTGTCTTGGTTATCATTTTGTCAGAATATTGTTTATTATATTCTTTTTCATTTGTTTCAAAACTCTCTATGCAGATATTGGATACAAATCCACAACTGTTTTTCCATCTTCAACAGCAGAGGTTAATAGAATTAATACGGAATGGAAAGGTGGAAGAGGCGCTCGAATTTGCTCAGGAGGAGCTCGCACCAAGGGGAGAAGAAAATGTAATCTTTAGTTCACTATAACTTTGTTTTGCCTACTAGTTGTCATTGAAAGTATTTTAGTTTTTATTTTTCTCTCTTCATGAATGATTTTTCTTGATTGCCATAATCTTACACTTCTCGGTTGTATCTTTTTCTATTATTGGTGCTGATATTTGGTTCTAAGAATGTAAAGAGTTTTCTGCAGCAAAGCTTTTTAGAAGAGTTGGAGAGGACTGTTGCATTACTGGCTTTTGAAGATGTCTCCAACTGCCCTGTTGGAGACCTTCTGGATATATCACAGCGCCTGAAGACAGCTAGCGAGGTTAATGCAGCCATCCTCACAAGCCAGAGTCATGAAAAAGGTTAGTGAGTTTGCTGCCGTCATTATCTAGGACATTTTTTTATTGTCTATATGAAATTTGTGTTCTAAGTTCATGTGATAAAATGAATATCCCCAGCAAATTATTTTCTTAAGAAATTTTCTACAGCTTTAGATGGGAGGATGGTATGACTTGTCAATCTGACCCTTTTTGTTTTTTTAACTGTGCATTCATTTGGACATGTATATTACTTGTTAGTGTGCTAGTAGTCTTCACTCATTTAGTGATGCTAGAAAAGCGTTACAAAAGATTTTCTTTGAAAATTCTGGTTGCAGCTTGCAGCCATCGAGTTATGGTCAGATGTATTTTAGTCTGAAACTTCTATCATCTGGTATCTTAGTGGATTATTTTATGGAGAAGTACTACATTGGATATGAACTTCGGACCATATAAAATAGGTTGTATCTACCACATAAAATAAGATATTTGCGTGAGGATATTTATGTGGGAAGAGGGTAAAGTTTCCAAGAACATGCTAACACAGATTAACCATTTCTGAGAGATTCCACTGATTAGTTTCTGACATTAGATATGATAATATTTATGTTAAACTGAAAGGATAAAATCAAAAAATGTGAGAATCTAAAAGGATATTGAATCAATGTTTTGATCTACCAGTATTGGACGTTGTTCAACTGGGTTTTGCGTTCAGTGGTCTCTCTTGCCTGCATGATTTGTGTAATTTTTATGAGGTTGCTGATTTATCTTGATAGTTCTTTTTTCTCTTCAAGAGTTAAATTGGCTTTGTATCTTTTAACCATACAGATCCTAAGCTTCCAAGCTTGTTAAAGATGCTAGTATGGGCTCAAAATCAACTTGATGAGAAAGCTGCTTATCCTCGCATAAACAATTTATCTACGGCAACGCTAGAAGATCCTGCTGTTTAACAATGATATAAAGTTCGTGTGGAGGATTGCAGCTGTCTAGATTGAACAAATAGAGCTAAATGGAATGATTGATCATGCTTGTACCAATATTGCAAAGTGAATGTAGCTAGAAATTTGTTGGATGATGTTTATTATCTTCTTAGATGATATTCAGTGGCTGAAGCTCTTGTACAATTGATTGTCAACACCTTTTTCCGTAAAGATTGTGGGATTTGGTCCTCAATTTGAAGCAAAATTAGCTCAACTTGGAGCTATTGGTACTGTTTATGCCATACCTATGTCCTTATTATTGCTTCTAGTTGCATGACAGCTGTTTGTGTTGAGTATTATTGCCGCTTCTTTCTGTTTCTTTACCTGTTGCGATTTGTCTTTGAAATGCATAACAGGAATGGTTTGACTCTTACCGGTGAAGGCAAGATTTTCTCGTTTTCCCATTAAAGTTAAAAATGCTATGGCGATGGCAACTCGAGTAATATATGGTGCAAATAATCTCATAACTGATAAATGGTTATAATGTAGCTGTATTTTTTTAAATTGAACACACTTAACCAAAGTAGATTGAAGAAACTGGTACACTAGAAATGAAAGAGATAGAAGCAAAGATGACCTTGAATCAAAGTAATTAAGTCCATCAGCTAGAACAATTTCAATAAACTTCACTCAATGGAAGTGAAAATGATACCAAGAAGAAATGCATAAATCGGTGCAACTGACCAATACAGTCTACAAAACAGAACTTACTGTACTTTCACCTACATCAAAACACATCACTGAGATTCCACCCAAAGAACACAAACCCACATGATTTTCTTGCTTTCTGAATAATCTCGAAACTTCTGTTGTTTGGTAGCATTTGCTCCTAAACCCCAATGGCAACTACCATCATCAAAATTCAGTGCATAACTGGAGGGGTCATACTGGAACTTGGACTGCTGTTTGGTTCCATTCTTCACAGCCTTCTTCACTGCTGCTCTAACTCTCCAAAACAGACTCCTGCATTGCCTTTTACCATAACTATTCACCCACTCCAAGCTTCCCACCAAGCCCAATTTTATCCCCATGTAGCTTCACTTGAAGCAGAACCCAGAAACCAAACTTTGGAAAGGAAAAAGAAGTTTTACAGACAAAATAAAGAACCCCAGAAGTAGTTTGTTAGATATAGGGCATAAATAGAAACAGAAGAAGTCGCAAAATGTTATGGGGAGCAAAAGGTGGGAATAAAAACAAGAAATAAAGCTCTCACCTTTTAGAATGGAGAGAATAAGTATGATCAGAAAACAAAGGCAGATAGATAGTGCAAATGCAAATGTTTTTGGTCTTTCAAAGAAGCTGTGGCAGCTTCATTTGGCAGTGGTGTTACTTTTCTTTGGAATCACATTGGGATGCTAAAATTCCATCATCTTTTCAAGAGACCAGACAAAAAGAAGTAAAAAAAAAAAAAATACATGGATGCTGTGGGCAGAGAGCCCCTCTCATGGTCATATCGCAATCATACATTGTAATTTTGTTTAGGATAAGTATTTATTCCTCCCCATTTCATCATAAATTCCTCCTCCCATCTTGTGTTTCTCTCTAGAATAGCTATATCTGCATTAATTGTAATGTACCACACACTATAAATTTTCTTTAAATCTAAGCATTAATGAATGTTTCATAATTTTTTTCTCAAAAATGTTTGGTAATAAACTTATTAAGTGCTACATAAAATGCAAAAGCAATGAGTGAAAAACAAGGCAATGAAACTCCACAGTGATCAATCAAATCAAAGTTTCCTTTTTGCTACTAACTGAATTGTCTGCAGCAGAAGGTAATGTAGAGACTTATGTGGGTACTTTGATTGCATAGTGGACTCTTACATGGCTGGCTGCTTCTCTTTTTGTCATCATCTTCAAAGCCATTATGCTTTAAAATATTCTCATCTAATTGACTAATACTCTCTTGTCTCATTATGCAGCTCACTTTTGCAAAAAATGGTTAATGCTCAATATCTACTAATTAGCACCATAAATTCTGGTTATTAATTGTAGAAGATGCATGTCAGGTGAGCTGTCATTCCAAGCCAACAGAGCAATTGTTGTCTCTACCTTTGGCATCCCCCTCCACTGCACTACTCAGAGCCCGACCCCAGAAGGGATTTTTATCTTTTTGTTAGCCTTTAATTGAGTTCCTTTTATCATGCAGGTTTCAAAATATAATGGTCCTGGCAGGCTGTAGCTTGGATAATGAAGAACTCCATCATTGCAGCGACTTGTTTTGGTTAGTGATGTATTTTTAGACTCGAACCATATTAGAACCAATATCCAAAACAAAAACATATCCACTTTTTAGCTTAATCATTCACACCTCTTTCATAGTAGTATTGCTGCAAAAGTGCACATGTTCATTGAAATTTATCAATTATCATAAGCTTGGATGTCACATAATGAAATGAAATATGAACATTTTCTCTTGGTTGGAAGTTGGGTAAATGGAAATGGTACTAAACCCTTGACCTGTGGAAGTCAGAAATTAGTATATTTGACATAATTTTTCTAGGAAAATGGGCTTGCAAAATTTCTCTTTTTAGTGTTAGAATCAGAGTTGTCGAGCACTTGGGCTTACCTTTTGTGGCCTTTCTCAAAGCCCAACATAACCATTGGGAGTTCCATAACACAAAATAACCACATGTTGCAATAAGAGTGGGCAGTCGATTCATTGGTTTTCTTGTCACATGGCATGTCTCAAATTTATGTACAAAATCAAAGGAAGATAAAGCTAATAGATCCCATTAGCATACTTGAGTATTAAAAATGTAGTTTATGGGGGTAATCTTTTCTTGATAAACTAACCTTAATGTCCGGAGCCGAAATGTGATGATCAAGGTGGTAGAATATCATGAATCATGTGCAAGTATCTTATATGGATTTGGTCCTCAAGTCTTTTATGGGTTCCTTTTCAGACTAGTTCTATTGAATGTGCATGCTTGCATACCCTTTCTTTCTCTCTTTTTCAGAATAATTTATTTGATATAATGAGTAATAAGCTTTTAGCGTTGGAGGTTTGGTTGAAATGGATACCCGTATCCCCACAATTGTTTAATAATGTTCTATTATATTATACTGTATATTATGATATTAAAAAATTACAAATGATAAGATTTAGTAGACCTCTTGAAACATTGCAAGCAACAAACTGTTTGCATCGTCACAATCCGAATATTTTATTGGACCATTCAATCGGTAACAACATTCAAAGTTTTCTTTTAATACACAAAAGTATATGTTCTTCCAAAAAAAAAAAAAAAAATAAGAGGCGGTTAGCAATATTCACTATTGAATTACATAGATAGGTCTACTCTTATAAACTTTCTCTCTCAACTCTGACGATGACACAATTCACAATTTGTTAGCTCATAATGGGTCACATCTATCCGATTGCGAGTTGCCATGTCAGAGTTGTGAAAGAAAGTTTGTAAGATTGGATTGTAAGTCATCTTTATTATATACTAAAAGGTTTTGTCACAAAGATAACTATTGACGAGTCTGTGGCTAATGATTCAATAGAATATAAAAATGCGACTTTTCCAATGATAAGATATATGCATGAACGGTCATTAAAGCAAGAAAACATTGTTTATTATATGGTCAAGATCCTTCTATATACTATTATAAATTAAACATAAAAACAAACAATGACAAATTTTTTACTCTAGTTAAGATGTCTCCAACTTCTCTCATCCGATTCCCTTCAAATTGGTCTGGAAATAATCGCAAATCTTCATTATAGCAGGAATAAATTGGACAAGGCAATAGACAAATTGAAACATACCTTAATTAATTAGTCTATTATATCAACAACATGAACAAGAAAACTACTCTAGTTTTGATCGACAACATGCCCAATTCCTTGTCGATGCTCACAATTCTCCTTTTGTTGTATTATCCGCTACCCTTCCTTAAACCATCCCTAGTGAACTACATTAAATTTCCCATTTGACATCAATTCAAACCATACAATAACAACTACCATCCTCCCTACGACTTCAATGGGTTCTCTCCCCTCCCCATCACGCCCGACAACACCACCGCCTTCACCAGAACAAAACTATTCCGGCCATCAAGTCTATGCCTCATTTTGCCTAAAGGAGTCATGGCCAAGATCAAACATTTCTAATTGGATAGAGTGCTATACTCCGTCTAACAACACATGGACTCACATTAGCTACATACCTTACATTACTGAGAATCATATTTTGAAGGGCTTTTCGATGGTTTCACTAGGTGACTCGATTTATGTAATTGGTGGTCGTTTGTGCCACAAGGAGAGAGCTTCGGGTAAATGCAATGAATTTGTAGATGTTGATGATGAGGTTTTATCATTAGTACTTCGTTACAATGTTCAATCAAATGAATGGTCTAAATGTGCAACATTAGTTGTACCACGTTATGATTTTGCTTGTGTTGTATGTGACAACAAAATTTATGTAGCAGGAGGGAAGTCCAATTTGTTTAGTGCTCGGGGAATTTCATCTGCAGAAGTTTATGATCCTACACTTGATGAATGGACTTCTTTGCCTAACATGAAAACATTGAGGTACAAATGTGTTGGGGTGACATGGCAGGGTAAAATCTACGTGGTCGGGGGATTTGCCGAGAGAGCTGACTCGGATGGTCTGGTTTGGTTTACAGAACGTAGCTCAGCTGAGGTGTTTGACACGCAAGCAGGAAAATGGGACTTTGTGGCGGGGATGTGGCAATTGGATGTACCACCTAATCAAATTGTTGAGGTGGATAATAGGCTATTTAGCTCCGGGGATTGCTTGAAAGTATGGAAAGGTCACATTGAGGCTTATGATGGAAATCTTAATATGTGGAATGAAGTTGATGGATCTTGCCTTCAAACACTCAATTCACCAATTTTCACAACCCATAGGGAAGATTGGGGACCAATCCAACGGCACTACTTAACCATAGCACCAATTGGGACTCATTTATACTTCCTTGCAGGCTATCGGATCGCTGGGGAGTATTCACAAACAGTTTCAATGGTGCATATTTTTGACACTACAGCCACAAGCGATGCATGGAGAAGCTTTGAGCCTATGGTGGAAGATGGAGAGAAAGAACTTTGCAGCCATTGTTGTGTTGTTCAACTCTTATAAACCACCAAAATATAGTGTTGTCTTAAGTCTTAACATGTGTTCTTGATTTTTACAAGTATCAATCACAGATGTTTTGGTTGGATGCTCGAATAGATTGCATAATCTAACAATCCCTGGTAATTTTGGAGGCCAAATAAAATCTTGTAAAAAAAACTTTGAACTTCCA